AAATCAGGAAAATAAAATATGAGCTCAAAAATGGAACGAAAAATAGCAAAATTAATAGAATCAAAACTCACGATGGAATCAAACTCACGATGGAATCAAACTCATGATGGAAACTACAAAACCATATTATTATTATTATTATTATTATTATTATTATTATGAAATGACCCAAAGGCAATGTGCCTATCGAGGGGTTCATTTGATTGAAAGAACAGTAGATGTAGATGTATGTACAAAGAGAAGTAGGGATTGATGAGGAGAGAAATGGGGAAAATCAACTGCAAGGTGGCGGAATTCCGTTGATTGCATAAGCATAGTCAGCTGTAAATTTCCTGAGGGCAGCTTTGAACTTATAGAGCGAGGCTTCCGATGTTAGACTGGGGGGTAAACAGTTCCATAGAATAGCAGTTCGGAACATGAAGAGAGACTTAGACAATGATTTTATCCAACCCTAAGAATTACCGCCCAGTCTCCCTCCTCCCCATCATCTCCAAAGTGATGGAGCGTATTGTGAACTGTCAAATTGTGAATCACCTTGAAAAACATCATCTCTTGTCAACCAAGCAGTACGGATTTCGCAGTGGCCTTGGAACAGCGGACCTACTAGCAGTGCTTGGGCATGATTGGTCGCTGGCAGCTGGTTCTGGTGGCTGTGCCCACGTCCTGGCTGTCGACATTGCTGGTGCGTTTGACCGCGTGTCGCACCCCGGCGTTCTACACAAAGCGGCCACTCTCGGTATTGGCGGTAGCCTGCTGCAGTGGCTACGGGACTATTTGCGGAATCGCACACTAAGCGCAATCGTCAATGGACAGGAATCTGCTCAATTCCAGATTAAAGCTGGCGTACCCCAAGGCAGCATCCTGGGACCCACCTTATTCTTGATGTATGTCAACGATGCTGAGACCTGTCTTTCCCCATCAACACGAATGGGTGTGTACGCAGATGACACCACGCTGTACACCATCATACGATCCAGACATGACTCTGCTGGCAGTATTGCAGACATGCAATCTAGCCTGGATCGATTGAGTAGCTGGGGAGAACAATGGCGAATTCGCTTTGAGCCGACAAAGTCGCAGCTGCTGCATATTGGCCACCACCGCAACCCCTGGCCACTCCCAGACCTAACGTTCGGAGCCCATGATATTCCCTGTGGGGACGAGCTGAAGCTTCTGGGAGTGACCTTCGACAGCAAACTCACCTTCAGACGCCACCTCCGCAATGTTTCTCTTCGTGCCGTAGCCCGACTAGGATTTCTGCGTCGAGCATCAAGTTTCCTTGGTCGTGAAGGACGCTTGACAACGTACAGAGGCTTCGTACGCCCTGTACTCGAATACGCACCATTGACATGGATGGGCGCAGCCAACTCTCACCTGCAAAGTCTCGACCGAGTACAGCGGAAGGCCCTTGCTATCATTGGTCCCGACGCCTTGCTGCAGAGCCTAGCTGCCCGCCGCCAAGTGTACGCTCTCACGTACATGTACAAGCTAATGTGCCTTCAAGACCATCCAGATCTCTCTGCGCTCGTGCCGCCTCGCCAGGAAGCTAGCCTTGTCCCGCGGACAAGGTCGCAGCTCCGTGTCCGCCACCAGCATCAGCTACAAGCAGTGCTCCTCCCTACGGCCCCCAACTTTCTCCAGCGTTCGTTCCCATATGGTGTAGTGGATGAATGGAACAGGCTTCCGCAAGACATGTTTCCGGATCCGATGCCCCAGTTGAAGTCTCTCCAATCCTTCAAGACGAAGGTCCATCGCCACTTGCGTCAAAAGAATTGGCTCTGGGCTACGGACTCCCTGTGAGGCTATGCCACCCGTCAATGAGCAACTACCCTCGTCCATCATCTCTTTCTTGTTTTATATTTATTTCTCTTCTCATCTCTTTCTTGTTTTATTTTATTTCTCTTCTCATCTCTTTCTTGTTTTATTTCTCTTCTCATCTCTTTCTTGTTTTATTTTATTTATTTCTCTCTCTCTCTCTCTCTCTCTCTCTCTCTCTCTCTCTCTCTCTCTCTCTCTCTCTCTCTCTCTCTCTCTCCCTCTCTCCCTCTCTCCCTCTCTCCCTCTCTCCCTCTCTCTCTCTCTCTCTCTCTCTCTCTCTCTCTCTCTCTCTCTCTCTCTCTCTCTCTCTCTCTCTCTCTCTCTTCTCTCTCTCTCTCTCTCTCTCTCTCTCTCTCTCTCTCTCTCTCTCTCTCTCTCTCTCTTTCTCACTTGATCTCCCTCCCTCCCTAGCTGCATTCCTAACGATGCCTGGTCGTAGGCTATGATTCCGAGACCTCCGGTCGGATGAGCCTCGCCAACCACATCGGCACATCGCCCCTACTCCCCTTTGTCTTGTTGTCCAGCGTCATTTCAGTTGTCCTCTTCCCCTGATTATTAGTAGGGCTGTGTTTTTTAGTAAAAAAAAAAAAAAAAAAAAAAGCCTATCTTTGATGGCCATTGCCCGCGTGCACTCCGGGGTCCACCACTTTGGATCTGATGGCTTGGTGGTCATTGCCTTTGACGGAACGAACTGGGCGACGGCGTTGGATATCGTGGCAGTCACCTGCTGGCAAGAAGTGTCCGGGTCATCCGTTATGATGTCAGACCAGTTGGTATTTCTAAGGTGGGAGCGGAGACGGTTCCAGTCTGCTTGGTTGTAGCGCCAAACAGTTCTGTGGGTGCGCTTCTCTTGCTGCACTCGAGCGCGGAATGTGGCAACAACTACAGCGTGATCTGATTTACCAACAGGAGGCAGCACATCTACCTCCACTGGCTCCTGGAAGTCGGACATTATCAGGTCAAGAGTGTTGTTTCCGCGGGTTGGTTCTGCCACATGCTGGGTGAGGCCATGCAGGGCACACATATCCTCAGCGGCTTCGCCGGCTAGAGACGTCCTGCTGCTCTGAAGCCAACTGCTGTTGTGCACGTTGAAGTCCCCGGCAATTACGAGCTTGGCGCCTTGCTGTCGCACTCGATCGATTGTGCTGTCAATATGTTCCAGGATTGAGATGTCATGATCTGCACATGAACCTGGCCGATAAGCGGCACACACTGTAACACGACACCCTGTTTGTAGTTGCACTGTAAGCCATATGACTTCCAGGTCACCGCAGGTTATCTGCTCCATGTGGCTATAGGCGAGGCCCGAACGTACCCAGACGGCGACTCCACCGCCTTGCGCTGTACGATCTCGGCGGATTGGCGGTGAATAGCCAGGTAGCGTGACATCCATTGCTGTACACTTCTCAGAGGTAAGCTTCGTCTCGGTGACGATTGCAATGTCCGGGCAGGTGGACATAACTGTGTGCTGAAACTCTCCAAATTTACTCAGCAGGCCAAATGCATTTGTTAGCAGTAATTTAAACAATGGTCCCTGGGTGGGCGGCTTCTGTCGCGGGAAGAATGGTTGGGCATGCGGGTTCATGAGTCCATTTTCTTGGAATCAGGGTGCTCCGGAGAGATCGTAGACTCATGGCTGCGTGCCTTTCCACGGGGTGTGAGGCCTGGCAGAGAGTCTAGCTGGTTGGCTGTGCTATCCTTTGCTGCCGCTAGCGTGTTTCCTACTTCGATTTCTGGCTGAAATAGCTCGTTGGTGTCAGATACTGCCTGGTTTCTTTCGCCAGTTCCTGATGGCGATGAGTCATCAGTTCCTGCTGGCGAGGAGTCGTCAGTGTCATGCGATGAGTCATCAGTTCCTGCTGGCGGGGGGTCGTCAGTGTCACGGAATCGCCACTTCCTGCAGTACAGCCGGCCTGGCCAGAAGTTTCTCGATCGTAGTAGCCAACCATCTCGTGCATACATTGTAACGTGTGCAGCGGACGACTTCCGCGCTGGCTCACCAGCACTCGACTGGAGAATGCTTGCAGACAGTCCATCCAGCGTTCTGTCAGTGGTGGTGGCTACTCTCTGCTGGATATATGTCGTCAGCTGGTCGGCTGTGGTACTACGTTTTAGGTTACCCACAAAGAAGATAGCCTTTTTCGGTCCACGAGGTTTGTGGTTTGACACTGTTGTCCAGATGTCACTGTCAGGGGAGAGTGGTGGTACAGATCGTTGTTGTTGTTGTTTGTTGCCTAGCAAACCAGTGTTTTGCAAACGGTTGGCGTCTTCACTTGTTGCACACATATCCGCATGCTTAGCTGCAGCGTGGGACTCACAACTACCGGCACGGTGCGCGTCCCCAGCGCTGTCCGTTGCTACAGGCGTTGCCAACGGAGTTTCAGCAGAGTCTGTGCTACGGTGCACGGTACTATGCTGTACTTTGTCCCCCGTGACAGCCGTTGACGGTTTGCCGCTTGTTGTTGCGTGTCCAGCTCCAACTGCCCTTGACCTTGGCCTGCTGCTGCTCATCGATTTCGCAATGGCGGATGCCTTGAGGGTGACCAATTCCTCCTTTAGTCCTTTGACTTCTGCAGATAGCTCGGAAATTCTGCGGCTCATCCTCGCCGCACTGTCTGCGGATTCTGTGGCTAGGGAAGATAGTGTCTGCACAACTCCTAACAGCGAGTGCTCGATCCCTGGGAGGGAACAAAGCAGTTTCGTCTGGGCTTCACTTGAAAGTTCACCCATGACGACGGCCTGCCACCGGTGTCCTATCTAGACTAAAACTACACTATGCTATCTACCTAAAAATACTATACCTTCCTCCAGTCCGGCCTGATGCCGGCTGGGCTGAAAAAGAGACAAAAAATCTACGAGCTCGAAAAAACGAACTGCACTCGAGCGTAGATCAGTGATGTTCTGTGATCTACCAAAAGTACTTGTAAATTGGCCAAAGCTATGGTGGTTGCTGGGTTGGTCCTGTGCTGTAGTGCAAGTGGCCATGGCAGTGACGCTTTCTTTTCAAATTCACATTGACAAGCTCCTTGTATTGATGGACATGTACTCTCATACATAGCGAAGAGAGTAATAATCAGCTTACCAGGGAAAGTCCCCACCAGTCTACTGTTTAGCCTGTGACTATTGAGCATACAGCTATCTTGCTAACCAACTAGCCCATGGTAAAATTTATAAATCCTGTGCTAGACCTTACCTAGTCTTGCGTACCAGTGACGACGAATACACCGGCGAGGCTGCGGCATTGCCCAACAAATCCCTGCGATCAGTATTAAACCGGCCACGACAACTGCACAAATGATTCCCGGCGGAAGGTAAGTTGTGGCGGCCGGTTCTGGGTGATCACCGTCTGTAGGCTGGAGAACAATATCATCACAACATGAAGAAATGAAACTCCAGGCTAACTCTTATGTAGATTTTTTACGACATTCTAAAAATGCAAAATTGAATCCCTGAATTTGCTTAGTATAACTAAGGAGAGGAGCGGGGGATGACGGGAAGTTTACATACTCCTCGGCATATCTTGCTCTCATGACATAATTTAAATTTCACGTCACTTTGACGATGTTCTTTGCACCACACGGTACGCCACTGTGCTGTATGTATCTATTATTGCACGATTAATGAGGTCATATATTGACCGATTATGAGGGCAATAATAGATTTATCACGACATAGCATACCTAAAACTGTTTTTGCTTTGCTATAGGAAGAAAGGAATACTATTGTAATAGTATAATAGTATGTACATAAGCATCCATTTGCTTTTGGAGAATCCTTTTAAATAAATACAATACAAATACATATGCCGTTTACATTGGACATTACTTCTGTGTAAACAGAAGTTTTCAGTTGTCTCTTGTAGTATGTTCCCCAAGTTCTTTGACTGAGAATCTGACAGTTTGGGTTCAAATCCCAGCATTTGGCATCAGATTTTTCTTCTTTCAGTTCTGATTTTTTTCTAACTTGAGGAAAAAGTTCTAAGTCCTCGGGCTAAGTGGTCAATAATAAGTGGTCAATATAAGCGGTCAATATATTATGCTGATATTTGACCGCTTAGAGATCACAAGTTTCTGTGGGGGTCAATAATAAGAGAGTGATAAACACTGATAGTTCCAACAAACCCAACAGTTCATGTTTCTCTCGCCAGGTCCGACTTGCTGCATGGCCTGCGAAATACATTGCTCAGTGCTGATCCGAATCTAACAAGCTATTATAATGCTCTTAGCTACACCACCCAGAAAGTGAAATTTTCATGAAACAATATTCATTTTACAAGTTTGCATTAAGTTCACAATACCCCTTAAAGAGACCTTGATAGCATGCGAGTAGCCAGAAAGGCCTAGTCTAGTCCCCTTGTCCTATACAAAACTATTGTCAAACGTCTGCGAGATGTCCCTTACCTCACAGGAGATTACATCGGTAGTGGAATTCTGTGGTATGCAAGGTACATCTGGTCAGCAACAAGTAAGTAAGAAGAGAGCAGCATACTGGTTTGGAATCTGTTACTCCATCTCTCCATTACACCAGTTAGACACTTGTAGTCACAGAGGTGCAGAGCTTGAGAAGACCAGTTGCACGGTATAATAATACCATTTTTATCTCTCTGCTATATCCCCCTCCACTAATTTTTGTGATCTCAACCTCAGTGGACGTTGGTTTTCCAATCTGGGAATTTCCAGATAGACAGGATTTGATTTGAAGCTTGCACCCCACATGGATTCTCTACACCCTTAATGTTTTTCAATGAAATCCACAGGTTGCCCCCCCCCCCCTACACACACATTGATTAGATGTGCTCCTCGTGTTTTTCAGCGAAATTCATAGATAGCGCTCACAGATTAAACCCCAAATGAATTTGCTGTGCTCTTCAGGTTTTCAGCAAAATTTACAAGTTACACACACACCTTTGACCTTGACCTTTTGACGCCCATCGCCGGAGGCGATGATAGCAATGCTACGGCAGAAGCCAAAGCAACTTGTGCTGGGATCGCACCATTCAACAGCTTACAAGGCTGAAGAATTGACCGTCACTATTCAGCCTGGTCTACAACATACAGCTATTTTGAAGTGACTTTTTCTGGCCAGTGAATCCCTATTTTTGGTCTTTTCATTTTTTTCCCGCACACACATCACACCACATACTCCGGCATGCACTGGCCGGGGACGGCTTGAGCCACTTCTTGGCATGGAGAAACGTTTCCAGCATACGCTCATCGAACAGCAGGTAGCCCATTGGCTCAGAGATGATGATGTCCACCTCTTCGGGTATATGGACCTCTTCAATCTGACCATACACACACACACACACACACACATCTTTTTCGACTGAATCCTCCCTGCCCGATCTCCCTTTGGTGCGTCCGTGGAGCTAATAAGCCGAGACTTCTGGTCGGCTGAGCTTAATGGTCCCCACCACCACACTCCGTTATTCACCCCCAGTGTCTGGAGATATGTGGGGTTTTGTAGAAAAACAACAACACGTGAATTTGGCGCATCTACTTGGGAGTGTTCCCCGGTCCTCACAAAAGCTCAGGGGCGCAGTCTTCCGTGCCTGGTCTAGTGATACAAGTATTTTCAGTCTGGAATCCTAAGGTTTGGCAGCGCAATCTGCAGATTGCTCAAATTCGCAGATTCCGCTGAACGTCTGTATCCTTGTGTGGGTCATCCCTTTTCTTCCTGTCACGAGATTGCATTGACGCATGTGAAAATGAAACGTTCTCAATGATGTGAGATAGGAGTAGTTATTGGATGCTAAAATTCTATGCATGCCTGGCGAATATTGAAAATTTCCAAGGGGCTGGTAAATGGTTTAAAGAAGAAGTGCATCGATTTTTCGAGTAGGGTCCAGAAGAAAGACAATTTGATATCGGTCAGAATTGTATATCTCTCGCTTTCATACGATAAGATAAACTTAACCCAATCGTCAATTGTATGCTCACGTCGCCATAACGACCAGCGCAGTGATCACGTATGAAAGGCTTAGCTCCACCACAAAGAAGGTCGTTCACTGCAGAATTTGGTCCTTTTCAATGTTCTTATTGTATTCACAATGCTAAAGAAGTGCTGTGTTCAATGCTGTTAGTGCCGTGAACTGTTTATCGGCCTTCTCCTGCATTTCCCTAGGCTGACTGGGTATAGGAACTGGTTCCTCTAGGAGAAGATACTTGGTATTCGCTTTCAAATCTACGACATTATTTCATTCGTAAATCTCCACCATCCGTGGTCTCACCTGGCTACAGAAGATGTTACGAGAGATAGGAGAGTCGCCAGGAGGCATCACATCCGACTTCAGGAAGTGGAAAGAGCAAACGATGTGGTCCTTGGTTGGGGTAAACGTCTGATTTGTCCCAACCAAGATTTCAACATTTTGTTCGTCACTAGTTTCATTGTCTGCTGATGTCTCCGCACTGCAGCTTTCTCCTGGCGGTGTCACGTTCCAGTACACAACCGCGAGGACTACTAAAAAAAAGTTCACTGCACAAACATCATTGAACACAGCCCTTCTTTCACTTCGTGAATATAACAAACCAATTGAAAATGACTAAATTCGGCTGTCCTCAAACTTCTCTGTGGTGGAGCTAAGCCTTTCATACGTCATCACTGAGGCGGTCTCTATGGCAACGTGAGTATACAATTGGCGATTTGGCAAGTTTGGCTTATCGTATGTAGGCGAGAGATTAACCATGCCGGCTACAATAGCGTGGTTGCTGATAGCGTTTCTGCACTCACAGAATGTTGAGCCCAAGCAAGTAAGACACCAAGCATCCCGTCCACCAAGTGCTGGTTTTGTTGTTTTTGTTTGTATTTTTTATTTACGAATTAGTGGTTGCGACTTCGGCGATGATTTGTAAGAAAGAGTTTGCTCCCCACACATTTTTTATTTAGACTGGGAAAGTCCAAAACAGGCCGTAGCCTAATAACAATGGTCCCACTAGTGAGGGAATGCTGTATATCTGTGCATAAGGATCAGTGAGTGTAACAGCAACTAGTAGGGTCACGACAGGTTTGTTGTAGCGCTTTACAACAGAATTCTAGAGCCGTGCTCAGTATAAACCTACCTCGTTTATGCCTCCATCGGCCCAGGGTGACATTCCCTGCATGCATACAAACAGCAATACATGTCAATAGATACAATCGTGAACAGAATATTGCACTCAGGAATGACATCATACATTCTGGAATGATAATATGCAATCTGGAATGACGTCATACAATCTGGAATGAAGTCGTACAATCTGTAATGATTTCATGCAATCAGGAATGACATCACGTGATAACATTAAATATGTTGAGTACTGATTCTACTGAACCGTACACACGGAAACTCTATCAGATAGTGAAGAGATCATGTCTGAGAAAACAGACAATGTGGGCAAATCTATGTCTCCGATGTCGCTCAAGTTCAGCAGGAACGTGTTCTTTGGGGTGTAGATGGACTGTGGGGAGCCCTTGATAAGGTTTCTAAAGGGAACTTTGGAATTGGCGTACCCTTCAGAATGCTCGAAAAGTAACATGATTTAGTGGTCTACAAACGAGCCACGCCACAGCGTCCGCGAAAAAGCTATGAATAAAACTCCATCTAACCTACATTGCCTCACATTAGAAGAGTTCCCGGGGCAGCACGACTTAGCCACGCCAGCATCCCAGGACCTAAAGGACATCACCCCCTAACGCCACGAATGATCGTCTTGAAAATAGCCCGAATATATGCCCTGACAATAGAGCGGGATACATCCTCAAATAGCAAATACTATCGACCGGCTGATAGTAGAAATTTTCTTCTAGGAATGAGGACATGTCTCTTATCATCCTTTCGGTTTTTTTAAATAAAAAATTTCGAATGTTTCAGCTCCCCCATGCTGAAATTTCGCAAAGCTCAAACCTGTGCGGGAAAGCTCGCCCCTCCGCGATGTCTAGTCAGCAATGTCTACTCCAACACTACTCCGAACGCAGCAGAACAAAATGATTATATTGCAGACTGTGACAAGGAAAGGCGCTCGTGAGCACTTGTCAATCCACACCACAAGCTTCTCCTTGCGGCATCAACATTTTTCGGTGCGACAGTTGATGCAAAAGTTACAGAAGGTTTGCATGCAGTTTTTGAATTTGACGGCAAGAGGCAATCTTCACCTGAACATGTAACTTATTATGATATTGAATTTTCGGTTTTGAAACCATTTTGTCGTTCCTGACCTTCCCATTGTCTTACTCTTCTCGTCATTATCATGTAAGAATCTACATTCGTTGTGGCCTTCGGTGATAGCTGGTCCACATCTTCGTTGCGCTAGACTTCCCCGCATTGGACAATCCTGTTGCTGAGCCTTCCAAGTAACTTAATTGTAGGACATTTTTGTTTGGCTCTTTCGATGTGTTTGAGAAAGGCGTCAGGTAGAAATAAAAGAGGAAAAAGGTATTTGGGTGTCGTAGTACCCCTGTCAGTTGCCAGCGGTGTGCTTGGTTGTGGCACTATAAGATCGCATACATGTAACTTATGACATCGGAGCACTGCAGCATGACTGTAGACATGACAGTTACTAGCTGATTCGTTTTGGGGCTTTTGCCTTGTGCTAGTTCAGGATACAATTTCTATGCTTTACCCAGGCTGGCTGTAGACAGATGCAACTCTCTATGCTTTACCCAGGCTGGCTGCAGACAGATGCAACTCTCTTCCACCCGAATGTCGTCAGGTAGCTTCATTTGCAACATGCGTTAGCATTTTTCGTGATCACCTAGGTCACCCTGGTTGAACAATACATCAAGTCTGTAGGGCCTGCATTGGTTAGACAATACATCAAGTCTGTGGGGGGGGGGGGGGGTGCATTGGATAGAAAATAGAGTACTACGTGTACTAGAAGTAACATATTTCCTTTCCTCCTATATACATAAACACAATTGAATCACCATTGAAAATCTAATACTGGTATCGTAAGGAGATAAAATGTCAAATGAATACTCGGACAACATGCTAAAATCCTACTTCCACCCAGTTGCATTTTCTCTGTCGAAGTTCCCGAAAATTCCTGAAATTCTCAGTCGTCGCTCGCACTTGAGTCTAGTGCGCATGCGCGTAACTTAGTTCAACACAACGTCAAGAGTTCTTGTTCCGAGCACCTTTTCCTGTTCATGTAACGAATAGCTATTATTATACAGTGATGCACTCCAAGTGATGCACTCCAATCCCCTACAGCACCCTATCATCGTTGTCTTCCAAGGCGTAGGCTGAGCCGTGCGAGACACTGTTGCAGTGGACACAGCTCAGGTGGGTGCGAAATGTTTGGTTTTTCTCTATTTTCTCCTACTATCACTCTCTCTCTCTTTGTCTCTCTCAGTCTGTCTCCCTTCTCTCCCTCTTGTATTTGTATTTGTATTTATGGATTTTCCTATCTCTCTTCCTCTCCCTCTCTCTCTCTGTCGCTCCCTCTCTCCCCTCTTCATGTATCTTATACTCTCTCTCTTACTCTCCCTCTCTCTCCCTCTCTTTCTCTCTCTCTCTCTCTATCTATCTATCTATCCATCTATCTCTGTTTCATTCGTGCCATTTTCTTACATTATACTTCACCCTTGTACGACGCGTCAGTTTTACTCACTGCAGCTCGAAACGCAGTTGTTCTACTGTCCACTTTTGTAGGATAACGCAGTCAGAACAAAGAGAGAGAGAGAGAGTGAGGGGGGAGGAAGAGAGAGAGCGAGAGAGAGAAGAGAGAGAGAGAGCGAGGGAGAGAGAAAGAAAGAGAGAGAGAGAGAGAGAGAGAGAGAGAGGGAGAGAGGGAGCGAGCAAGGAGCGAGCGAGGGAGCGAGCGAGAGGAAGAGAGGGAAGGAGATAGAAAGGGAGAGAGAGAGGGAAAGAGAGAGAGGCAGGGAGAGAGAGACAGAGAGAGAAAGAGGGAGAGAGAGGGAGAAAGGGAGATAGAAAGAGCGTCGGCATCGGGTAGTCCTCTGTCACTAGGAGGGATGGTCTTTGCTTTTCCGATATTTTTTTGACCTTGAGCCTCTGAAATTTCGAACCTCCACTTTCAACTCAAAGATAATTGCACACGTGTATAATTTTGTATAGAAAGGGGAAGGACAAATTGTACGGGTTTTAACTAACTTTCTACCAACGTAACCAGATCATATATTGTCAGCGAGTGCGAAATGGCACAACACTTACAAGGATTGCGGAGACGACATTCAGCGACCTGACAATAACTGCAGCATGATCTGGTTACGTTGGTGGACAGTTAGTTATAACTCGTACCATTGTTACTTCTCCTCTTAACCAGGTGTTACCGGGTGTTATCGGCCGTCGTGTGTTCACTTTGGGGACGGACACGATAATTTTCATTTTTTCTACCGTTTTTTACCCATAATCACATTGGCTCAACATCCATGGGCAATAATTCGCAACATTTTACATGTTGAACTCGGATTATGAGCTAATTTGAACTCGGCTGTTGAGCCAATGTAATCATGGTTAATAAAAGAAGGATTAAATGTTGCGACTTATTACCCATGGATGTTGAGCCAATGTAATTATGGGTAAAAAAAAGTAGTCTCTCCATTTTCCGTACTGTTAGTCAAGCCTGCACAATATTCAGCATGATAATCATCTCATAATTGTACATACCAGTATCCATGGCCAGTGCATCGCAAGTTTGGGCGATAAAAAAACGATAAGCGAATCGCAGCCAGTAAACTTTGATTCGAAAACTGCGAAACGAACGCGGATAAATCGATCTCTGCACATATTGGAGTAAGACGAACAGACCTACACTCGACTACTTCGAAGTACGTTTGGCTCAACATGCGGGCCTCAATAAACACACGTAATACCATTTCAGCGGCACTCATGACTAACAGAGGTCTTTTTTGTTACACCAGGTCAGTCCCTGCAGATCTATTGCCTTGTTATGGGGTACCCTAGGTGGTCACGTAAGGTTGAATAAATCTGCCATCTGTTGTGCAGGCAGGAAGGGACAACATAGAAAGCTAATCGCGAAAAAGCAGGTAAACTGAGGAGCGTGTAGGCTCTAGTCAAGGCTGCAGTTTGATAGCCTTTAGCTTGCAAAGCGGAAGGTGCTGCAAGCAGGTAGCTGCGGCGGATAATCAAACACTGTGCGAGTTGGCTGTATTTGAAACATCGGTGTGGTACAGGGTAGTTGAGAGTGCGTGGAAATCGTAACAGGTACAACTGCTTGACCTTCTCATGGAAGACGGACGAACAGTCCTGATCCAAGGAGCGGATCTCAGCACGAGAAATCCGGTCATCAATGACTAAAAATGACCTGCGATGACTAGTAATGACCTGTTACCTTCTACGTGCACGTATCCACGTATCCACGTCAGGTAGGATTGACGTAAGGATTGTATCTATCGGTACTCTGATTGCTCGACACGTGATGTTCTGCTCGCACGTATCATGTCAGTCGTAAAGGACTGGCAAGTGATTACGAAGGCAATATTCTATGGATTCAGTACCTCATAGCACTACATGAGTGAGTGAGGTCAAGTGGTTTGAGCAAAGAAAGAAGGATTGGGTAGAACGGCAAGTTTGACATGCGATGCAAAAAGAAAAAAAACAACAGCAACAACTGCCATCCAACATCTGAGAGAGTAAGAGTTTGTCAACTAAGTAAATTAGCGTGTCTGTTCCCGAAGGGAACTCACGACGGCCGCTAACACCCGGTAAACCCTAGCGGCAGATGTAGCGCCCAACGAGAGTGTGTAAGACAGAGACAAACAAAGAGAGAGAGTAATACTTATAGAGAGACAGACAAAGACAGACAGACAGAAACAGACAAACCAAGAGACAGACACAGAGACACAGACAGTGACAGAGATAGAGACAGAGCGAGTTATAGAAAGTGAGAGTGTGTGTGTGTGTGTGTGTGTGTGTGTGTGTGTGTGTGCGTGTGTGTGTGTCTGAGGTGTGTGTGTGGGGGGGGGGGGGTGAGAGTGAGTGAGTGATTGTATGAGAGAAAGAGAAAGAAGGAGAGAAATGGAGAAGGAGAGAGCGAGAGGGACAGGGAAAGGACTCATACTGGAGGGAAAGAAATGATACAAACTCAGCAAATTTACAGAAGGCATTTTTCCGCCAAATGTACATGTACATGTAATATCAACACCGCATTTACCTGTACCTGGCTTTCCTGAGGCCTCTAGCACTGCTGCCAGCAGTAACGCGACGGCGACGGTAAACATCGACGTGGCCTGCAACAAAACACGAAGTGATATAAGTGTAAAGACTCAATTGTGTGCAATTGTGCTAAAGCCTAATGGTATTGGTCCCATTGGTACAAGGGGAAACAAGAAAGAACGCGGACCGGACTGGGGAACATAATAAAAACGCAAACAAAACTAAACGAAGAAGAAAATGATGCGATCACGGTCGCAACGAGAAGAAAGGACTCATACTGGAGGGAAAGAAATGATACAAACTCAGCAACAGGCAACACGGAAGAGAAGAGAAATGTTACTTCAGCTTTCACTCACAGAAAGTGGATCGTTGGAAGTCTAGCGTTTCTAACTCACCATATCAGCGGACTGCCGAATTGCGTCAGCAACCAGTTTTGCAGAGACCAGATAAAATCAAAGCGGGCTTGTGAATTCAGAAAAGGGCAACACCACTCCTGTCTCCTGTGAAGCTATCAGATAAATAGCTAACCAAATATCCGACAAGCAACATACATGCACTAGGACTAGACGAAGATGGATAACGCGTTAACCCTTTGCAGTGGCTCCAACTTCTACGGTCCAAGTGTGCACACACTAGACAATCATCAGACAATAATTATATCTGACCGGCAGTGCTGTAACTGATGTCCATATATCCGATGTTCGCCCTTTTATACCAGCAACATGCGTGGAGTAGTACTGCACCGAGACGAAGATGGATAACGCGTAGTGACTCCGAGTGTGCACGCACTAGGCAATCATCAGATAGTCGTACTCGGAGTCTCTGACCGGAGCTGCTGCAACTAAAAAAATCAGGGCTGAAATTATTATACCGATAACTCGCATATCGATCGTTAAGAGTGCAATCGATAGTCGTTAGTGTTCAAAACTAGTGCTACCGATGTTTTATGCATTCATATTAGTGACCGTATTCTAGCCCTTGTGCTCCATCCGATAGTGAATACGAGTCCAACCATGAACTGTCAAGCGAAGTAAAATCGATTTGTGGCTTCGAAAGAGATTGGGAGAGAAGAGAAGGTTGATTGATTGATTTTATTTGGATTCGCGAGACCAAACGAGCAGGATTACTCAATAACAGGGTAGCGAATGGTTGAGTTGTGCTATGTGACAATGTAGTGTGTGCGTGGGGTGGTGGTCGTGGGGGGGGGGGGTTAAGCTGCGGAGGCCCAATACAATGTAAGGGAATGGGAGGAGAGAAGGCCAGCGGGGAGTCAAATTCAGAAGAGGGAGGAGAGAATAGCTGAAGTACACGGTTACAGGTTCATTTGTGGGAGAGGTCGGAGATAAGAGCAGTTGCAAGAGGGTGATCACAAGATTCTTAAAACAGTCTACAGATGCCGACAGTGCCGAAATTACACACAAACAGTGCCGAAATTTCTAAAGTGGCAAAGGCGTTCGAGGTACACGGGTAGGGCCAACAAGAATCGATAAAACCAATAATATCGATCGTTTATGATTTCGGTTGATCGTTAGGAGTTATTGAATGCTCGTTTCAGCCCTAAAAATAATAATAATTCGACGAGTTCGCGTACCGGGCAGGTCAAGAACAAGGAGTCGTACAACTCCCTGGTCAAGAATCACCTTTTTGCTTCCGTGGGACGCCACCACCCCATGATCAGGCGTCAGATGCGGCTCCTAAACGGTGGGGAGGATAGATCAGATCCACCAACCAGAGGCCAAAGGCCTAAATCCCATTTGCCACATCCATGTCCATAATTCTGTACATGTCTGATGTCCATATTTCCGATGTTCGCCCTTTTATACAAGCCTGTGTTTATTATTATTATTAATTCAACATCTCCTGGCTGTGAAATGACTTATGATGTTGAAACACATTACGTTACTCATTCTCACACGCATTGGCCTCTGATGACGGCAATCATATTGATTTTTGCACTTTGAACTGTTTTTGAAGTTTGGTCTCATCAGGATTGGATTTTGGCCGTTTTTGGAGAGCGACAGTACTGTCACACATACTGGAGGGTAGTACTCGTTAGGCCTTGACGGATTATTCTAGCATAATTTTTCGCATAATTCCTACCAAAATCGAATAATCGCATAATTCGAGGCAAATTGCATACGAATTGCACAAATAATGGAATAATCCGCCTGTTCGCACCAAATTCCATAGAGTTGTACATGTTCTACAAGTACAAGTAGATACACCAGGAAGTCGTAGGTTTACGACTCCCTTGATAACATGTCCAGCCCATTACAATCAGTGATGGTCGTAGCTACAAGTGTAGGTCGGACGGTGCGTTGACCCCCTTGAACTTTTGCTACTAGTACTACAGTACAACGCCCTATAAAACAATCCCCTGTTATTTTGCACAGAACCATCATATACATTAGCAGCATATATGTGAGCATAATGCGGCATAATATGATAACTTTTAGCATAAAAATAGCAAAATTCTGCAACTTTTTCAGCAATGCGAAAAGCATAATTTCACGAAAATATTAGCATAATCCGTCAAGGCCTAGTACTCGTTATCGCAGTCAGTAAAGCATTAGACAACACCAAATGGTCGGATTCGTCACTGGATACTGGCGCACTTGATCCAACTCCTCGAATACCACTTGAATTTACCGACTGGCGCATCGCACGTACATGTACATGTACATGAAAGTATTTATGCACACACACATACACACGCAAGCACACACACACACGCACACACACACACGTAACCACACACACGCACACGCACACACACCTTTTGACAAACACACACACGCAAACACACACACGCACACACAAGTGTACACCCACATGATCAGCAGTTTGTAAGTTTGGTTTAAAAATTAATAATTAAGGGACGAGTACCGTAAAAGCATGGCAACGGATCGAACATTTTCTGCATTTCAGGTGTATTTTTGAATTTTCTGGAAAAAATTGACCTTTTTCGCTTTTTGATTTTAATTTTCCGCAAAATAATTGGCATGATGTGGACACCTTTACTGCTGAGGTTAGACAGAATGTAGAGGTTATGTGTTAACAGCATCATTTGAGATGCTTTCGTGAAGTCGCCGACTGGTAGCACAGCGCTGCACTTGCACTAGCGATTCGAGATGTATACTTTGCGCCCATTAGAAAATCTCACGCTGTATATTCTTAGCGGCCATTAAAAAATCCACTGAGTGGTTCCATGAAATCACCTCTTTTTGGTCCATGGACACATGCCGAGGCGTCCTTGATCCGTCGACTGCATTTGAGCTACAGACAGCACGTTTCGAATTCTTGTCTGCGAGGGTTTTTAGTTCCTGTTGGCCGGCGATCGGTATCGATCAGAGCAGTTTTAGTTGTGTGAGCACGCAGCTAGCTAGACCAGGGCTGGTTTTGAGATGCCTGCCACCGCGAAAACTTCTCTTCGCGAAATACGGGAGCAAGAGATAAATGCATTTGCTATCTTTTTGTTGTCACTATGTAAGCTACCTCGGGGTATCTCTTAAAATAAGTACAAATACAATACAAGTTGTCCGTTTTGTCAAATCCTAACGATCATAAGCAGGATAATATTGAGTCAAAATGTGCAACAAATAGCACAAAACATACTGATGTGTCCTGACATTCAGCGACATGATGCTTACCTGCATCACGTCTGGAATGCGAAACCAACATAATTCCAACTTGGAAGGTTCTATTCATTTTGCTCATCTTTGATATCATGATGTTTCCAAGTTGATGGTCGTTGTTTCGCGTTTTCGAAGTGAGCTGTGGCCGTTCTATGCTATGGTCCTTCGTCGTCATCTTCTCATAACTACCATTGTTGGTTCGCTGTAATGTTTAGCTTGTTTTCGTCTAGAGTACGCTCACCTTCCACGTTCTTACGTTACTTCATAACTTAGAACCTTCCAAGTTGGAAGGCTGTTGGTTTGCGCCTTCCAGACGTAATGCAGCTAAGCATCAGGTAGTTGAATGTCAAGATCCCATCAGTCAGTATTTTGCTAATTGTTGCACACTTTGACTCACTATTATCCTGCTTATAAACGTTAGGGTTGGACAAAAAGGATAACTTGTAAACTGGTGGTCCCCTGGTCTTCGTTGACAAATGTACGTCGGTGTAAAAAATGGCATGTACTTGTCATGTACTAGAACCTGTGTATTGTTTTTCGTTTGCTATTTTTCAGAGGGAGGAGAGCGAAGGTAGAGAGTGAGAGACAAAATTGCGATGTAGAAATCTAGCAAAAGACATTCGCACATATTGATCAAAAGGAAACAGTGATAACCTGCATAATAATGTACCAGGGTCATCAAGGTGATCAGCCCCACATGCTGCGCGAACAGCACGCCGAAACAGTGATTGTAATCCGTTCCTATCCTGAGCAGACAACTTCGTGAGGAACGAAGGGGAGCAATACAAAAGATCCGGGAGAATGACAGCAAGAATGAAGGAACGGCGATCAGGACAAACATCTGATTGGATACTACATTTGTAGAGCAATGATGTTGCGGTTGGTGGCTAATCATCATCATCATCTGTGTTGCCAAAAAAATTATAATAGTAAAATAAAATAATAAACGGCATTATGCAGCTGTGTAAACAGTAGATGCACAGTGCGACTGCCAGGCATCTCTGTCAGATGCCAACTGGAGGCAAATACCGTGCCATAAAGCAAAGTAGATGCACTCTCCTCTATGCGTAGGGGTTTTGCTCGGAAAATGGCCAGATTAAGCTCTAGCGGATGCTCGCAGGATGCTGGAGAAAACAACCAATTATGCTTTTTATGCTTCACGAAAAAGACGGAAAGAACAGATAATTTATAGAAAAGAGAAAGGACCAAGGAACTACAAGTTACGCTATAAATATAATGTTCACTAACATCACCTGTTACTGAACAATCAACTCATGCGACAACATTGCAATTATACCGCAACTTGTATTTCCTTGGTCCTTTTTATTTTCGATGAATTAATCCTTGGCTCTCTAATCGAAAACGGATAGTCGTCATGAAAAAAGGACTCACATCATTGACCTCCTCGACGCCGTTGCAGAATGCTGGGAGGATTATCTTGGCGACAAAATGCGAGGCGTGTAGCTGTGCTTGTACAACTCGTTTCACGGCGTAATGGAGGTCGCGGGCTGGAACGACTGAATATAGTCGACACTGATTCGTTCATAGCTCTGGGGATGAAGAGGACGTGGCCAAAGTCCACCGTCGACTCATCACTGCAGCTGACAAGAATCTGAACGAAATGCGAGCGGAAGCAGCGCATGTTGGCGATGCGAAGTCAGCGTTGTCCGGTGACAATGACACGAGCGACGAAAACTCTGAAAAATCTAAATCTCATTCATCTGAGTTGCTTTTTTTCTTTGCATATACATGTAGCTGCAAAACAGGTTAGACAATGCCACGAGTGTTATTCCAAGTCAAACGGAAGAATTCCAGAGCTGTGCGGAGCTTTCAAAAAAAGTCACGACGTTTTTGTATACGGAGGAAGTAAGTTTTAGTCTTTCCAACTTGAGCCATTACCTGTATGATCCTTGATGAGCAGGGACCGAAAACGTTCGGCTACTTTTTGACAAGAGCCTTATTTTGACTGGATGTGTGTTTGCGTGGATACTTGCGACCCAAAACTTACCTTCGTTTAAAAACGAACGAAGTAGCGGTGAGGCATCCTGCAGCTTCATAACTCGAAGAGAATTGGTGAGCACACATGCTCATTCCCTGGGCACTGCAAATTCACAACTCATTTCAATCCACAGACTCATTTTCAGCGTTTCGGCCAATTGCCAATATCAGGATGCAATATGAAGTGGAAGTCTGCCAAGGAGCAGTTATATACACTAATTTGGTGGTCTTAGGTGTTGATAATATTTCTATGACTACACATGTTACCTCAGTGCTAGAAATATGACATGTCTAAATCTAGTGAAAGATCACAAGTTTTCACTGACTCATATGCTGGGTGTTTGTAATAAGTTGGCACAGCGCAGATGTCACCAGATAACTTGAGAAATGTCTGAACAGGTTTCTCCCAAGCAATACACGAATGTGACCATGTCAGTGTTTTCCAGAAAATACTGTCACCTAGATAGCCAGTGTGGTGTGACTGTTTTAGAGTAATGACCATCCAGCACTGGTGTTGATCTCGGGCCTTCGTTTCTGATCTCCACTGCCTCTCGCAATTTGCGGCTTGTCCTGTCACTGGCTCTTGCAACCACAGACACTGCCGAGGAGATGCTGTCCCCGACACCTAGGTTGATCCCTGCATGCTTAGCTCGCATGTGGTCACCCCATGGCTTATCCACAGTGCGCCTACGAGCCTATGTCTCAGTACTCGTCGTCAGTTTTGTGCCATTTTGTCGCACTCGCTGACTATATAAAATCTGGTTACGTTGGTGGACAGTTTGTCATAACTCGTAACATTTTGTCCTTTTCCTTTCTTCATCATCATAATAATAATAATTGTAGAAAGGAAAAAGGGTATTTTTATGATTTCTTCTCCAGTGTATGATTTATTGCATTTTAAACCATTGTATTATTTTGCCCGTAAAAAATGCCTGAGAAAACAAACAAAACAAAGGGCGTAATTATGGAAACGGGTTAAGAGTAACTCTCCACCACTGTAACTAGATGCTATCCAGTCAGAAAGTGCCACTACCTTTTCTACATAATTAAACTATTGGCTCAATATCCTAATTTCAAATAATAATTCAAATAGTCGGCGTGAAGAAAGCAATTTTATTAGTGCAATAAAGAGTATAATAGATGCAGACATGGCCAGACAACAACGAGTTCATGGAATTTTGAAAGGATTTTTACGTTATTCAAAATCGATTGTCGTGTTCCGCTCATCAGTGAATAGTATCGGAACTGAGAGAACAGTGTACAAAAAAGAACATTACAATTATAACAGGATAATAAAAAGTGTGAACAAAAAAAGGGAAGTGCTACAGCATTACATTATAGGTGTCAAACATAGTGCTGAAATATATGAGTGCAGGCACAAAGCATGAGTTGATACAGTGCAACATGACACGAAATTTACATCTGATAACCAGCTGCGAGAACAACTTTAGCGCGACTACATGCTTCTTTTGTTTACAAAGATCAGGGTTATGCACACGAATACATACAGCTTCCAGAACCTTTAACTGCTTAACAAAACTTGCACGGCACAAAACAGAAAAGTAAGAATCAACGTACACACTAAGACAATCTGGACGTGATAACAAGTGACCAACCACAGCTGATTTTTTGCTCACGTCGCTCTCTTCCAAGCATGTAGTCGCGCTAAAGTTGTTAATATGCATTCCAAAATGTGATACAACTTAAAAGCAACCAACAAAAATGGTGCGTAAGTGGCACAAAAGAAGGTTAGGACACCGGAATGTTACTATGAAGTGAGAGAAACAAACTGTGGAAAAAGAAAAGAACTTAGCAGAACAATTTCAGCATAACACCATGCGTATTTTGTGTACAGAGCACAGGCTCACGTAAACGTACACACGAATACACGAACATACGTAAACGAATTTTTTTTACTTCTATTTATTTTCATCCATGCATTTCACATCTTTTCAAAGCATTGGTCTAGGGATTGAGTTGAATCCTTTACACAACCTTGTTACATTTGCCTTGAGATTCTTTGGATTAGACTTTTTTCAATTTTCATTTTGATTTCATCGTCGAGTTTCATGCCTTGTATCTTTGGTTTTCTTCCTTCTTTCCATGTCGTATTGTTTGAATACACACAGGTTCAAGAACGGAGATTGGTACGAATGAGGGATCGGAGGATGTCATTGATGATGGTACTGTGGATGATGGTGATGGTGAGCTGGATGGAGATGATGATCGTCAAAAGTCTGCTGTGCTTTTGCATTTGTTATCTCACTACAAGTGTTTGGAATTGGAAGTGTATGATGATTTTTGTATGTCTGCGTTCTGTCGTGCACGTTATCCCCGTCAGTGGAAGGTTCTTGAAACTGTTTGTGTTTGTTTGTATTAGCCTGTGCTCTGTAAAGAAGAGGGTACCTAACACATCTGTTAAATCCGGGCTTTACTCAGTCGGTAGAGCAAGCGGTTATAGTAATGGGTAATGGTTCTCACTCGGAATTGCACAAATATTCAGAGAAAGAGAGAGAGAGAGAGAGAGAGAGAGAGAGAGAGAGAGAGCGAGAGAGCGAGAGAGCGAGAGAGAGAGAGAGAGAGAGAGAGAGAGGGAGAGAGAGAGAAAGAAAGAGAGAGAGTTCTCAGGTAATGTAGTCGGAATCTAGCAGGAAACTAAGAGGTAGGAACTAATCTGCGGAGAACGGGTTTGTAGGAAACTAGAAAGGCAGCAGCTTTTATAGGGTGAGGATTGTAAGTAAGCTAGCCTATGGTCCGGGGATACGTAGAGCAGAGAGAAGTAAGAAGAAAGGTCAAACTACAAGGTACATAATTGTGTGGGCAGAAGGGTGGAAAAGGTCGGCACATGGCACCTGTGCAAGAGGAATACGTTTAGAGGAAGAACTGAATAGAAGGGTGTACAATACATCGTATACATGTATATGTCATCACATCATCACAAGTCCATAGCCCTAAGGCCGTCAGCGGGTCATAGAGCAAAGTATGAACAAGCGAGCGCCATAAAAATCGATCGCGTGCAGCAGCGAGCAGGGACTGCACGTCAAGTGCAGTTAATAATATTATCAAGCCATGACATTCTGGGTCTGCCTCGGCCACGACCTCCAGCACCACAACTCTGAAGAACAGTCAATGACAAACAGCTGGAACGAACAATAATGACCAAAAATTGCAATTTCCTTTTACGAACAGAAACAATAAGTGGGACTTGTTTGTGAATACTATTTATTTCCTCTCTAACAGACACATTCGTCCGGTGATCAGTGAAAGGAATCCTGAGAAGGTGTCGATAGCTTCTCATTTCCAAAGCCTCGTTCTTTTTCACAATTTCACCAGTTAAGGTCCAAGACTGGCAAGCATAAAGGAATAAGGATAAAACAATAGCATTGAGTAGACGTAATTTCGAGCCGATACTGATGTTTCTATCCCTCCAGATTGCTACTAGTCGTGTAACAGCAGCCGAGGCTGCTGCGATCCGACTCCACACTTCTTTGATTGAACGCTGATCATCAGTAATCGTGCTACCCAGATATTTAAACTCGTCAACCTGCTCAAGCTGCTTCCCGTCGATGGGTATGCTTGCGGACAGACCTTTGCTTGCTCCCGTTACCAGCAGCTGACTCTTCTCAGTGCTGATTTCCATGCCGTATGACTTTGATGTGCTGGCCAGGCGGCCAGTAAAGTCTTGCAGTTCTTCCTCGCTGCCAGCCACCTAATCAATGTCATCTGCAAATCGCAGGTCTGTTATAATGCGTCCACCAATGCTAATGGAACCGCGAATCCCTCTAATGACCTAGATACCAGTTCTTCCAAGAAAATGTTGAATAGAGAGGGTGATAGAATGCAACCTTGCCTAACGCCAACGGTGGCATGGAACCAACTGCTAACCGTTGTTCCTACTCCTACAGCATTCTCGGACTTCTGGTACAGGGACTCGATCAGTGTGATGAAATTCGTGTGATGATATTGTATATTGACAACCCTCTGTAACAAGATATGGTCGTCCGGCACGTGGCCACGGCAATGGTGCCGGTCAATCATGATTCCACTACCAAAGAAAGGCAACCTCGGAAAGTGCACGAACTATCGCACCATCTCGTTGATAAGTCACCCTAGTAAAGTAATGTAGCGTGTTCTACTCAACCGTCTCACACCTTGCATCGAAGACCTACTGAGCGAGGAGCAGGCTGGGTTTCGAGCAGACCGTAGTACTGTGGATCAGATATTCAACATCCGTACACTGGCAGAGCGTTATGGTGACCATCAGAGACCCATCTATAACAATTTCATCGATTTTCGCAAAGCATTTGACAGAGTGTGGCACGCAGCCCTGTGGAAGATAATGCGCAAGTGTGGGCTTAGCCCGAATATCATCACACAGATCGAATATCATCATCATCGAAAATTATGTGCATGCAAGTGTGCAATAATACCAGGAGGGCAACTGTTGAAAGGAGCATTAGGATGTATGTTCAGCTGTTAGTAATAGTATGTGTAGATAACTAAAATGGCGGCTGAACGTGAAATGCATCAAAAGGTCTACAGTGTGTTACCTAAGGTCAACCTAGTGTGTGGGAACAATACATGAATACAGCCTAGTGTGTGGGAACAATACATGAATACAGCCTAGTGTGTGGGAACAATACATGAATACAGCGCAGAGCTAGTGTGCGGGAACAATACATGAATACAGCGCAGAGTATAGTATTAGTAATGCATGTAAGAGAGGATAGAAAGTGAGGCTGGTGTAATAAGTTAAGTACATGTGCATGTCAAATGATGTCTGCATTCCTATCTAACATATCCATTATTGGCTCCGTATCCGAGCATCAACAATCTCCCAAAAAGTGTGGTGGTCGAGATGGTGGTGATGTCGGTGATGGTGATGATGGTGGTGGTGGTGATGGTGATGATGGTGATGGCGGTGATGGTGATGATGGTGGTGGTGGTGATCCTGGTGAAAGGAGCGGTCCACATACTGGTGAAATTGGTGGTGGAGATGGGCATCCAAATGATGCTGGGGAATTTGGTGGTAGCGATGGGCGTCCAAACGAGACTAGGAAATTTGGTGGTAGTGGTGGACGTTCAAATGATACTGGGGAATTTGGTAGTGGAGATTGGGGTCCTAGTGATACTGTGGAATTTGGTGGTGGTGGTGGGCATCCAAATGATACTGGGGAATATGGTGGTGGATATGCGGGTCCTAGTGATACTGGGGGATTTGGTGGTGGTGGTGGTAGGCATCCAAATGATACTGGGGAATATGGTGGTAGAGATCGGGGTCCTAGTGATACTGGGGAATTTGGTGGTGGTGGTGGTGGGAATCCAAATGATACTGGGGAATATGGTGGTAGAGATCGGGGTCCTAGTGACACTGGGGAATTTGGTGGTGGTGGTGGGCATCCAAATGATACTGGGGAATATGGTGGTAGAGATAGGGGTCCTAGTGATACTGGGGAATTTGGTGGTGGTGGTGGGCATCCAAATGATACTGGGGAATATGGTGGTAGAGATAGGGGTCCTAGTGATACTGGGGAATTTGGTACTGGCCATGGGAATTCTACTGATGGTAGTCCTGATTCTGGGGTATTTGGGGGAGCAGGTGGGTGCGAGAATGGCGACGGTGGTGATGCTGGTGGTGATGCTGGTTCAGGAATTCCTTCTTGATTTCTGTGCATCGGGCAAAGTACACCAGACATGACTGAAATGAGTACATCAAGATACTAACTCATAAGGGAAAACCCTCGTGGTTTTAGATAAGGTCAATAGGGCCAATCAGAATTTATTCGTTTTTTATGGTCAACTAATCGACAATCATTTTTCACCCGACTGCGAACTGTTCATTTTTCTAGGTCCGATGTCTATTTATAAATAGACCAACTTTTTCAGATGATCTACGGATATTTCCCCTAGTTTAAAGGGATTATGGCTCATAGTCCCCTGAAACGAGGGGATCTCATATCCACAGGAAATTCTCTGGATCCCCCTCGGACCCAGGCCTGCTACCAGCATCACCAAGAGAGCTAACTCCCTTGGCTGCTGTTTGAATTTGCAAGAATTGGCCTTCCAGATAATGTCTAGCAAGGATAAGTGGCTATCGTGGTCAAAAGAAAGGCATACTGGTGAAACAAAATAGCGAAGTGGCAATCTTTCTACAGGCAACAAACAAGAGCATCTTAATTTGCAACATACTACATGAACCGGGTGTGCCGAGCACCGGTAACCATAGAGACACACCACACTCCCATATAGATACTAGTTATATTTAAAATAGACCGAGTAAGAAAAATAATCCAATAGCCTATGGAGAGTAAAAGAAATAGAGTCAATGACAACAAATGCTCGTCCAGCAACCGAGTTGTCATAAAACCATTGACCGAAATGACAAAGACGCATAGTAATGAGCATCGCAGTTCTATGCAAACATTGGTTTCTAGTACAGTTTTGGGAAATTTCCTTCTTTCACAGACCTGAGAGATAAATCTTTGCAGCAGTTAGCCTACTACTTACTCAATTTCATTGGTTCTACTTGCAGATGTACCCATTTACGCTCTACGTCTCTTGTCAAATTTGTTCCACGCGATCACAAACAATCCATCCTATTTCGGATACCTTTACAACATTTTGACTAAGCCATGGGACGGACGTCAGTGTCTGACAATTCTTCATTGTAGTCTTTGATTTGTAGGGAATAAATCGCCTCCACGCAGCATATTTTGTAGGTGTCAGACGAACGGAGCATCTCAAATTATTGTCAAATAATTACAATATCTACTGTTAATCATACAAAAGATAACGACCAAGGAACTACAAGTTACGCTATACTGTCCACTAACACCACCAGTTACTAAACAATTAGCTCATGCGACAACTTTGCACTACACTGACCGACGGTAATGACGTTCTACAACTAACTGGCTAACAGCTCTAGCACATCTTGGATGCGCACTCCAACAGCCTTCCAACTTGGAAGGTTCTAAGTTATAGAAATAACATATGGAGGGGAAAGTGAGCGCAACCAAGATAAGCACGAGCTGAAAGTCTCAGCTGTGAAGGACGTTGGCGGATGTTCATGCATGTCGATGACGATACTAACAAGACCATTGGACCATACGGTGAAACCACGATTTAAGAACGCAAAGCAACATTCCACACAACTTGTGTGGCTCAAAAGAGGCGAAGATTAATAAAGGGGAAGCTATGCGAACAAGAAGATCCTCCCACCTGGTGCCCAACGTCGACCTAAGGACATACAGCCCACCCGCGTGTCTGCTCAGCCTACGCACCCACACCAGCTATCAATAAACCAGCACGCACTCTAAACAGCTGTATTCGCGCATTTCCTGCCAGCACTGTGCAGACATGGAATGCTCTGCCCCAAAGCATGCTGGTGAGACCCCCACGACTGGAGAGCCTGCAAGCCTTTAAGTGCCCTGTCCACCGTCACCTCCAGCTGTACCACTAGAGCTGGGTAGGCATGGGCGGGTAATGCTAGTTATTTGCTGCGATAATGCTAAAGGCAATGCTCATAATATGAGGATATAGTGCCACTTATAATTTTTTTTCTTAAGCCTCTTATACGGGCAATCACAGAACATGATTTCACTTGCCTGACCGCGGCAACAACTGCAAAGCCAAAAAAACAAATGCCACTTATAATGCTCACACTACTCCATAATGCCAGTTTGAAAGTTGGAAAAGTCGATTTAAGAAGGCCGTCTTGGATCAAGGCCAAAGCATAGAAGAAAGAAACGTAAACAGCAGTGAGCATGTCAGAAAAAATCCAGTGAGAAGGTTGATTTACAACGTCAAGTCTCTGGACGAAGCCGGACGGGTTCAGATGCACGATTTTCGGAACTGGACCTAGCCAGCTTCATGCATGACACTGTTGCCGACCGGCTATTATGCTTGTAATGCCAATTTTGCATGCGAAATGGTGTTATAATTCCAGCATTATGCCCCCTGGAAAAAACGTACTATAATGCCAGCCATAATGCTAGCATTACCCGCCCATGCCTAGACCTGGGCGACTGAGAGCCTCCAGCAGACCTCTCACACCCACCTCAGCCGTAGGTCACACACCGCGTCTGAAACCGTGTCTTTTGTCGCTAGCTTATAATACTCTCCCTCGCTCTATGTTGCGGCACAGTAGCTCCCTTGTTCATTATTAGCTGGTTGTGTGCATTGCGTCGGTGTTGACGCCTTTCTTTCGAAAAGTTTACAAGTTGTCCGTTTTGTCCAACACTAACGGTTATAAGCAGAACACTGTTGAGTCTAACCTTCCAAGTTGGAAGGCTGCTGTTTTGCGCATTCTAGACGTGATGCAGCTAAGCATCAGGTCGTTGAATGTCATGATCTCACCAGTCAGTTTTATGCTCATTGTTGCACATTTTGACTCAACAGTATTCTGCTTATAACTAGGCGTTAGTTTTGGAAAAACGGATAACTTGTAAACTTTTGGTCCTCTTTTGAATTTTAATCCTTCGCGTTTCACCCGATTTTAACGATACTTTAATTTTTTTTACTTGACGACATAATATTATGTACATGCATGGCAGAACCCAAACAAAATCAAAACTTAAACCCACCGACCGACCCTGGTAGTGATGAGAGAAGTGACCCGGAACAACGGATTTATTCTAAGTGGCATAGACATTTTCTGAAAACTGACTGGACACGGATTTCATTTGGGGAAAATGAGAATAACCCAACGGATTATAAATGCTTATTAAATTTTATGGATTCTAAACTCACGGCGACGAGACCATAATTTGATAACCGCAATCAATAAAATTCCTGATGAGTGTTGTGCGAAAACTTGTTTGAATCCATAATTTTTCTCTTCACCATTTCTTCATACTTCAAGTATTTTCATCGTTATAATATATTGCACATCGTCTCCACCGTTTTTACATTGCATGGATAAAGTACACAAATGGAGGTTCAGCTAATTTTATTGATTTTTAAACTACAGTAAAACCTGTAACTAAAGACCACCGTGACTAGCGACCAGCCTGGTACTAAAGACCACTTCGGCAGGCACGGAAGGTCTCACATTCATACATGGTTGGGTGGTGCAAACCTGTAACTAAGGACCACCTGCCACTAAAGACCACTTTCTCTGGCCCCAAGGGGTGGTTGTTAGTCACAGGTTTCACTGTATTTGTCAAAAAAGAAAACTCATTCGCCGGTGAATATATTAATCCAGGATTTAAGCACACACATGCATCGTCCAACCAAATAATAATTAAAAATTCAACAAGAAACCAGTGGTGTGTGTGTGTTGAATGCGCAACTCGTACTTATTATAGCGTTTGCACTGTTGTGAATTCCAGCAGAAATCCAAGAGAGCTCGATACCGGGAAGGTAGAGCCGTGACACACTAGTCAGAACAACAGATGGCTTGATCAGTCACAACTTAAAGTTTCATGCCATCTCAGGCACTCATCTGTTGTTCTGACTAGTGTATTATAGCGTTTGTATATTAATATTAGATTAATATTAGATATTAGATGGTGAGCCAAGGAAAATTTTGTAACATGAGAAATTGTGGGCACAAGTTATGTGATCGAGTCCTTCAACTCAACCAGATTTTGAACAGTCAGACTTGCACAATCTGAGACATTCCACGGCAGCTTTTAAGCACTGCTCGATAGCGCTAACCAACGGCCTTCCAACTTAGAATGTTCACGGATATTAGTGCTAATTCCAAAGAGGGGAAGGCGAGCGCCATCGAGCCGACCACAAGCTACATTCCAAGGCTTCATGGAGTGCTGGCCTAGGATGACGACGGGAGGGCAGGACCAGACAAAAACGGTCAAACCGCAATTCGACAACGCACAGCAACAAACACCAAACGTGTGAGGCTCAATATTATCCGAGATGAAAATATGAAGGGCAAGCTTCACGAGGACCAATTGTAACAAACCGAGCGCCAGTATCCTACAATACTGTACAGTGATGGACTAACTAATTGCAATAATATGAGTAATAGCTGTTCAAAATCTGGTTCAGTGGGTGAACTCGATTGCATAACTTGTGCCCACACTTTCGCATGTTACAAAAGGTTAGCCTTTTGAGCACGCGTGACGTTCTGACACGTCATGGCCACTGTGACACGCGTGACGTTCTAGAACGTCCTAGAACGTCACGAGTCAGTGCGGAACTACATCGATCACGCGTTTCTTCCGTGGCGTGGCTTCGAGCTGTACCGCTGCACAGAGAACTCCTAGGATGTACACGTGCCGTAAAAAACGCGAGTCGCTCCGTAAGTTGGAACTGGAGTTACATGCGTGTGCATACATTTCAAAATACCAATTTCGCGTATAACTACCTTTATGAAAACGGTCATAACTACCTTTATGAAAATGGTCATAACTACCTTTATGAAAACGGTCATACCTTTTGCAATCTTTGTTGTATTTCCAAAACAAACAAAGTTCTGTGCTCAGGATACATGAAAGAATCGTTTGAAATCAAGTTTGCTCACATAGTGTGAAAATTTTTCTTTACTGCGTGGCAGATGTTTTCAATGGGCCCGGGCTGTGGTGCCTCCTTTTCACCATAGCTGGTAGCTCGGCTTCCTTAAAGCTCGTAGCTGTACTGATGAGACCTTTATGGCCGAAACGGCTTGCTGTCTGCAGCATTGGGTAATGAAAAAGGTTACA